CTCTGATAGGTAAATGGCTGGCATACACATGGCTACTTTCTTCCCTTCATTTCCCCTATACCACATGTCTTGGGAGATGTTAATGCTATTCCTAGCCTCCTTGGTCCAGGGATGACTCCAAACTCCCATCACCATACCACCAAGAGTGGAAAATGCAGATGTAACTTTTGTACTGCTCCATTAGATAAACGGAAGAGAAAGGGAAAGTACTAAAATTTGGAAATGAGAAGAAAACCTCTGAGCTCAGAATTAGAGGATAGGAAGCTGATAATAATCTAAAGGAAATGGGCAGTACACTCCAGACAGTACCAGCTACTATGTGTCTGAAATGTGATCATATTGTCTAAAATGTTACGTATTAAAGATTCACTCTGAACAAATGAATATCCTTTTTTTTTAAAAAAAAGAGAGAGTTAATGCCAATTTCTCCACTATCTTCATTCATATCTTACTGGAAAAAAACTTTTAAAATCTAGCCAACAACTGCCATACAAAGAAATGGGGTTTCTGATCAGAGGAAAGATAGGAAATTTTGAAGCACAGAGCATCCAGGAGGGGAAAAGGCAAGACTGCTTATATATGAGGGTACTTTTAAAAGTTCATGAAAAGATTCGTATTATCTTTTTTTTTTTTTTGTCCTTTTTGAGACCGGTGGCACCGCGCTCAGCCAGTGAGTGCTGTGAGCACACCGGTCATCCCTGTATAGGATCCGAACCCGCGGCGGAAGCGCTGCTGCGCTCCCAGCGCCGCACTCTCCTGAGTGCGCCATGGGCTCAGCCCCATATTGTCTTTTAATTCTATTTTTCACAAACTTTTTGACATACCATCGTAGCACTCCACCAGAGTTTAGGATAGTATTATGGCAACTGGGAAACAACCCACACCAAAGAGTTTAACCTTCCTAACCATATCAGGAAAATGGAAAGACCTCTGCTTCTTTCTCCCTCCTACGTCGGTTGGCTCCCTAAAGAAAACTGAAAGCTCAGTATGATACTAACAGTTAACTACATTATGGCTTAAATAAGCCTTTATGAGCTTCTCTAAGAATCTAAGCATTTTATATAGAGTTCCAAGCCACTATTTACAAATGAACTCTGGGAGCCTGGATGCTTTTAAACTTTCTTAATTAAAAAAATCTAAAATAGGCCGGCCCGTGGCTCACTTGGGAGAGTGCAGTGCTGATAACACCAAGGCCACGGGTTCGGATCCCATATAGCGATGGTCGGTTCGCTCATTTGGGAGAGCGTGGTGCTGACAACACCAAATCAAGGGTTAAGATCCCCTTGCCGATCATCTTAAAAAAAAAAAAAAAAATCTAAAATAGCACAAATGTTCATGCATATGAAACCTCTATACACTGCAAAAAAAAAAAAATCCAAAATATTTTAGAACTCCCTTTCAAAAAACCATTGCTTATTTTCTTACTATTAAATACAATTACTATAGTATTTTAGACAATAAGTACTAGCACTCTAACTTGTTCAAGACAAGTTTGAAAGAATATTAGATGAAGACTCTTGATAATTATTTCATTTGCATGATAAAATTGTCAGATTTCAGGGTGACCCACACTATTAAGAGGTTTTCTCAGCAGGTTTTTCAACTATGCAGAGTTGGGAGTCTAAAAAAACCCCCACCTAAAACTGGATTTCTTTATATTGTATGTATCTATGAAGAAGAAGCACTAGTACAAGAAAATCTTGTTTTATGTATATAACCTTCTAATATGGATAACAAGAATCATAACAGCAGTACTCTAATGTGTTTTACAGCAAAGGAAAACACTGATCACAAATCTAATTCTAAGCACTCTATGTGAAGAAAAAATTATTTTCTTTTATAAGCTAAGCTGTTTCAGTATTAGCAAGTCCAGTAACATGTAGAAGCATATGGACCAGGTATTTTCTAGTAAATGAGCAAAGCAAGTACTGAAGAAGGAACTGATGCTTTAAAATCTTCCATCAGTACCTGGCCTTGGTGAGTGAGCCTAAATGCTGAGTTAGCCAGGTTGAACGTTAGTGGACCAGGTATTTTCTAGTAAATGAGCAAAGCAAGTACTGAAGAAGGAACTGATGCTTTAAAATTTTCCATCAGTACCTGGCCTTGGTGAGTGAGCCTAAATGCTGAGTTAGCCAGGTTGAACGTTAGCAAAACTTGAGAATGTAGGCAAAACTCCAAGATTTCCTGCTCAATTGTGTATGTGCCTTTGGGTATGTGTGCATGTGAGATGAGGCCTTTCGATGAAGGAAAAGGATTATACCAAAAAAGGTACAATTCTACCTCTATTTCTTTCCATCACTGCATATTTTTAAAGTTGAGGACAGCTCATCACTTGTCCTATGTAAGCCGAATCAATTTGTATAATAGCCTTTGGGTCAAACTGGACAAATTATTAACTGGCCATTCTTACAGTTCATCACTTTTCCTACCCAAATAGATCTATATAACTTTTGCCTTAGTGTTATGTAGAGACTAATATAGAGCTGGTAAGAAAATCAATTCAAACACATGCAAACATTCATCAGCTATGATTATAGTTTGACTATAATCACTGTCAGAATCAACCATGGATTTTTCTTTTGAATATTTACAGATTCTCATTTAAGTAAGGTGCTTTGAAGACCTAAACACTTGAATAAAAATTCACCAGTTTTTAAGTTTTTAAAAATTACTTGCAAATAGAAAATGAAAGAATCACACTACAAATCAAGTATCTTTAGACTAGCGTGGGAGAGGATAATTCATTTTCACAAAAATAGCTACCTACTGGAACTATAAGCAATAAAGGGTACAAGAAACTGCATAATCAATTTTAGCAATGATTACAATTCAAGTACTACCATGTGAAGTGTTAACTCCTGAGAACACTGGAAAGTTCTACTCACAATATCTAGTTCTATTCAGAGTCAGAAGAAATCATGATCTGACACTAGGACTGGGCATGTAGCATGCAGTGCATCATTTCTTAAAAATGAGCACTCAATAGAATTTCAAGAAAAACATAACCAGGTCTGTAAACATTTAGAAAATTATGTGTCTCTAACAAAAATTACAATGTAAGCAAAACGGGATCTTCAAGTATGCTACTGAACACATCAATGTCAGAATCAGCGAAAAGTACTGCATTTCAACCTGCTTCAACTGGTAAAGTTTTCACACAAATGAGTACCTAGTATTAGAGTTTACATCATCTTATTTCCCCAAATTGTAAAGATACATATTTTACAACTATTGAAAATATTTAGTACTCACCTCTAACTAGTCAAGGGTAAATGGGAAAAACCTTGTATTACCTTGTACCAAATGAAATTGCTGTTTTTTTAGGTCAAAATCAAAACACTGTATTTAAAAAAATAAGTTTTATTCAATCAAAATATGCATCAGGAGCATTGTTTTCTTCCACCAGGATTTAAATATTTAATTTTTATAAAATTCATCATTTGTTAGACTTTATAAATTGTTCAAATCCTCCAGTTACTGCTTCTCAATTGGGGAATGTTGTTTCTTAGAAAAAGCTCCAAATGATGAAAAAGATGGTAGTCCATTGGATAAAGGTTCAGTGACTACGATGGATGTGACAAAATTTCACAGCCCACGTCAGTTAATTTTGCTTTAGTGGCTTGTGACATGTGAGGTTGAATCCTGTCACGTAAAAGTGTGGGTTCATGTTCGTTAACCGAAGGATGTTTTTAAATAAGATTTTTTATCCATAATTTAAGTTTCTTGATAATATGCTGCTGCTGTCATTGTTTCAACTGGGTTTAAATAGTAGTAATTAATCATCCCTTTCATAGATCACCAGTCTTCAGAACTTTTTTGGTCTCAATGATAATGGTGGCACATATGAGGGAACTTCACCAACATCCAACTATTGTATAAATTATCAATTGTCATATAGTATCCTTTTATTTTTTGGTCACAGGTTATGAACTGTTCCAAAATGGGTTTCTGCTGTTTTAAGTCCTTATGAGCATACCTCCAATGGTCTCCATTCCTGATCATCTCTCTAGAAGCTACTCTCAGGTCCATTTTTATACTTTCATCAGTCACAGCAGAAACTCTTAAGTCTGCTGCAAGGCCTCAAATTGTTGTTTGTGAGTTAGCTTTCACCTTGGTTCTTAATTGATATTTGTTTAAAATGAATTTTGATCTCCCCTGAGGCTCATTTTTGAAATTCAGATCCCCAAAGCAAGATTTTTCAAACTACCACTGTGTAATTCTTTTGCTAGCCGAGCTTTATAAGGCCAAATTGATGTTTCTACCTTTCTCATTTTCAATATGTCCTAGTTTAAAATCACGTTAAAAAAACAAACAATATTCACAATTCTTCTGAGGATACTATATTATTTATTTCTCTGGAAAACAATAAACGATAAAAACTTCAATAATCAAGAAAATTAAGAGCATAATACTATCATAATTCTAAATAGAACTGGAAACAAACTTTATGCCAACTTTACTAATTGCAGTTAATTTTCAACTGATCTACTATTAGCAATTTCATGTGGTACAATCCACAAGTTAATCAACAAATACTGAGAATCTACAATAGCTAAAATCTGTCTATTACCTGTACAAACAGATACCCTGGAAAGACTGACTTGAAAATATGAATTCACTAATTTCAAAGATCCTAGTAGTGGAGGAATCTTAAAAAAAAAGATCCATTAAAATGTATGCTTCCCCCTGTTTTAGCTATATATATGACATTCTAAAAACATGTTAAATGGATCCTTGAAAAAGTCTTTGAACTAAATGTTTAATGTGGTATGAAGTTCAACACTGAAATATACATTTTTCAATGATTCTAACTTTTAAAAGTTAAAACTTCCCTACATTTGTTATATATTATTTTGAAGCTTCAAGAGGCTTTAATGTTTATGATAAATAACAACTAACATTTATTTATAAATGTTTCTAAAGCACCCCCATATACATTACTCTCATTTAAGGTAGCGAACAAAGACAATACAAAATTTGCACTAGTAAAGACATGGAATATTAATAAAAACTAAAAGGTAAATAATGTTTTTTGTGTATGCATTTAAAAAAATAATGTAAAATATTAAAATCCTGTGTCACCAAATCTCTGTAATACACAGGGGAAAAAAGCCCTCTTTAGTTAATGCTTGTGATTAAGCATCACTGCCCACTGCAGGAGGACCGAAAGTTTCTCTAGTCCGCATCAACTGGACATCCTTGTCAGCCATACAGGTATCACAGCCCCACACTGCTGATGCTTCTGCCGTGAGGAGGCCATAAGCTGTTTCAGTCATTCCAGTACAGATTCGATGAAACCATTTCTGACAAGAGGCTTCACATAAGATGGCATCCTGGTCATCATTCACTTCATTCGTACAAATTCCACAAGGATATACTGGGTCAGAAGACGAATGGCCATGACGGCTTGGGTGGAGAGAGGATTTATTGCTTTTTTCAGTGGTACATGCCTCTGCTGCACCTCTAGGTTGTCGCGGTTTATTCTGTGTTCCATTTGCATGGCTGTTGTTTGTAGCTTCAGTGCTACTGGAACGGCTGTTCTCTTGATTTACTGCATTGTTTCGATTAATATTTTTTAATTCAATATTACTCTGATTCACTGTGTCATCCATATTTAAGTGAGGTGGATGAGCAGAGGAATTTTGATTAATGTTTTTGGTTGCTCCTTGATTAAAGTCTTGTTTTGGGGGTGGTGCTTTTGCTTGACCAAAAGTATTTGGGGGAGGTATAAAGGAATGATTAGATTCTAATGGAGAAGTAAAATTTGAATTATTTCCAGGGACAAAATTAGATGCCAAATCGGAGTTAGATACTTGGCTAGTATTCTGTGGAGGAATTTGACTGAAGTTTTCAGCAGGGTTTTGTCTAAAATGTTGACTAGGCATGTTAATATTTTGACTTAGTGCATTATTATAAGATGGATTTCCAAAACTTGAATTATCGTGTGGCCCAAAGTTAAAAGCATGAGGTCGATTAAAACCCATGCCCAGAGGATTCTGAGGGAATGGGTGTGGCTGATTCCTGAGTGAGTAAGGACCACAGTATGGGGAAGACATTCTTGGGGGAACGTGAGGTGGCATTCTGAATGTGCTATAGCCTGCAAAGCCAGGATAACCAGGGCTAAGATATGGATTTGATGAAGGTAGTGGTTTATAGGAAATAGTATTATAGTTGTCATCAAATGGATTAGCAGCCACTAGATGGTCAGAATTTGGATTCGGTGGTGGAGCATACTCAGACAATGGAGGAAAAGAAGGTCCCTGAAATGAGAATGTAAAGTAAAATACATGTTTCTGAACAAAAAAGTCATTATAATTGTCCTGTTATCTTCACACCTATGAATCTGATTTTAGTCAAATTTCTCTTGTAGTATTATGAAAATTTAATTTCTTCACTTGACTTTTCAATTCCAATTAAATGTTTATACTTAATTATACTTAATGATAAGAGTATGTAGGTTTTTTTTAATTTAAGAAAGAAAATAATGTATGCTTTTCTGAGCTTAAATCCATTGTTACTTCAAACCCCAAAACTATTTAACTTTCAAAAGAAGCTTCACATCATAATTTTCATCCAGTATGCTTACCTATAACTCTAGAATCTTTCACTTAAGATACTAAAGCATTCTAACCAAAAATACCTTTTATACCCTCAAATAGTCATAAAATTAAATAAAAATTAACACAATCTAAGTTTTCTCTCCTAGCTTAACTTTACGAAGATGCTTTTAAAGTATTCCCAAAATGTTAAGCTCTAGGCCTCAGACTGGAAAGATAAACTGCCAATTTTAGTCATATTGCAAGTTTAACAGAGGTGGCCAAAATGGAGAAAAAAAGTAATCTGTGTACACATCATACTTACCAGTAGACTTTATCATAAAAAGAGTGCTTCAAATTTATAGAGAATAAAACCACTAAAGCCTGTATGTGTAACTGCTTATTACAACCACAAGTTATAACAAAGAATGTCTCCATCATGACTGCTTCTTGATATGCACATAATACTGAATTACTGTAATAGTAATTACATCAGATTAAAATTGTTTCCATGTATTTTTAAATTTTTTAATAGAACTACAGACATTTACGCCTTTTTTTTTAAATTGGAACACAGTTCATTGTACATATCTGTGGGGTACAGAGTTGAATATCAATACCTGTGTGCAATATGTGATGCTGATATCAGGATAATCAGTATATTCAACCTTATACGATGTAATCATTTTTTGTGGCCCTTTACCAATTCCTCCCTTACCCTCCCACCCCTCCCCCTTTCCCACCTCTGGTAACCTCAGTTCTGTTCTCTCCTTTTGAAAATTCAACATATTATTTTGATTGTTGTATCTTTCTTTCTTTCTCATTTATGCCTTTTAAAAACCTTTCATTAGCATTTTAATTTGTCTGCCCACACTTTCTTCTTGCAATATCTACTCCAGGCCTACAGTCCAACAATATACCCCTGGTTGCAGACTAAAAAAATAAATTAGGCTGTAAATGAGGATAGTAAACAAAGCTTATGACCAAACTTAAATTTACTCATTGGCCTGATCATACCAGCAACAAAACAGTGTTATTAAAGAAAAATGTCAATTTACCTGTGTATTTGCCTTGCGTTTTTTCTTATCTGGGCTTCCTAGTTGTACACCTGGTCCTCCTAACCCATCCAGTCCACTATCACCACCTAAAAAAAAAAAAAAAATCAGTGTTTCCACTTGTATGTGAAATAATTTTATATCTCTCATAGCAACATCTATTATATTTACCTGTTAATATGCTTTCTATTTTTGTTAGATAAAAGCAAAATTAAGCTTTTATTTCCTTTGTTCTTCAAAAAGCCATTCCTGTAGTTTCAGCCAGAAACAATCATTCATCTTTGCTCCCATATTTATTATTCTTTTAGTGAAAAACAAAGTCTTCTTCTGACTCTCAAACTTTCAGTCATCTGGTTCCCTGTCTCTAAGCTCATTGCTATTACAAGTTTATGGCCCATCTTTCCAAACATAATCTAGATATATTCAAGTACAATATCTTTTGAGGGGGTACACAAATGATGGCATACTATCAATACTGGTCTGCACCTTGTTTTACTTGGAGACCATCCCATGTCACTATATATAGAACTGCTTTATTCTCTAATAACTGAGTACTATTCCATAGTATGGTTATGCCATAATTCATTAAACTCCCCTCCCTACTAATCGATATTTAGGTTGTTTCCAAACCTTTGCTGTTGCTGCAATGAAAATCCATGTACACATGTCTTTACATACACGTACAAGTCATTCTTAGAACCGTAATTATGGCATCAAAGGTATTGTGCCTTTTAATTCTTAAAGATACTGTCAGAATGCAACAATGTTTACAAGTACAGACAGTCCTCACTTATGATAGTTCAACTTAAAAATTTTTCAACTTTATGACAGTGCCGAAGTAATACCCATTCAGTAGAAACCGCACTTCAATTTTGAATTTTGATCCTTTGCTGGGCTACGCAGTAGGATACTCTCTCACAGTGACGGGCAGTGGCAGTGAGCTACAGCTCCCAGTCAGCCACAAGATCATGAGATAAACAACTGATGCTCTACAGTGTACTGTGTTGCCAGATGATTTTGCCCAACTGTAAGCTAATATAAGTTTCTGGGCACGTTTAAGGTAGGTTAGGCTAAGTTATGATGTTTGGTAGGTTAGAAGTATTAAATGTATTTTCAACTTATGATGGGTTTATCAGGATGTAACCCCATCATAAGTTTAGGAGCGTCTGTACTGTTTTCTCAACAGTATATGATCAAGAAAAGCAAAAGCATGAAAGTCAATCAAAGAGGTTTAAAAAAAAGTTTATCAATGGAATATTTCCCATTTTCAAAAAACCTTTTTATTATGGAGAATTCTGAAAATATACAAAAGTAGACAGAAGAGTAAAATTAACCCCATATGCCCATCACCCAGTCCTAATAACTATCAATACACAGTCAATTTTATCACTGCAGCACTGCTTCCACTTCTCCTCTAGTACTATTTTGAAGCAAATTCCAGACATCATATCATTTTATCTGTAAATATTTCAGAATTTATCTTGAAAAGCTAAGAACTTAAAAAATACCAAAAACCCCACAACTATAATGCCATTCTCACCTCAACAAAAATTAACAGTAATCCCTTAATATCATTTAATACCCAACCCAAATATCTCACAAAATTTGTTATGGTGTGTTTACATTGGAATCCAAATAAGGTCCATACATTACAATACGTTGATATGTCTTTCAATTGATATGTTCCTCTCCATCAATCCATTTTCTTTCTTACAATGTATTAATTAGAAGAATCAGTTGATTATTGTTTCAATGATTAAGGTACAGTCTCTCAGCTCTAAACCCACTCTTAGTGATGCTGGAATGGAGCTTGGCCAATTAGATTTCTCTTTTGCCAGACTCTTGCAACAGGAGCTCTACAGGGATACAGAAAGGCTAGGGGATATTATTCATTGCTAGTGTATAGAAATAAAATTAAGTTTTGTATATTAACCTTGTATCCTGTAACTTTGCAGAAATCATTGATTAGCTCTAATCGCTTTTGTTGGTTTTTGTAGGATTCTTTAGTGTCTTCTATGTATAAGATTATGTCATCTGCAAACAGAAATAATTTTACTTCTTTCTTTCCAATCTGGATGCCTTTTACTTCTTTTTCTTGCCTAATTGTTCTAGCTAGAACTTCCAGTACAATGTTGAATACCAGACATCCTTATCTTGTTCCTTATGTTAAAAGCTTTCAATCTTTTATACCCAAGTATGATGTTAGCTGTGGGTTTTTTCATAGATGTCTGTTATCAGAAGGAAGAAGTTCTCCTATCCTCATAATTTGTTGAGTGTTTTTTATCATAAAAAAGTATTGGATTTGGGCCAGCCTGGTGGCGCACTGAAGAGTGTGGCGGTGCTCCCTCCAAGGGTTCGGATCCCATGTGGAGACCGGTTCCCGCTCACTGGCTGAGCGCGGTCGGTGGCGCACTGAAGAGTGCGCCGCTTGGGAGTGTGGCGGCGCTCCCACCAAGGGTTCGGATCCCATGTGGAGACCGGTTCCCGCTCACTGGCTGAGCGCGGTGCGGGCGCAACACCAAGGGTTGCGATCCCATTGCCGGTCCCTGGTACGGGCGCGACACCGAGGGTTGCGATCCCGTTACCGGTCAGTAAAAAAGACAAAAAGGAAAGAAAAAAAAAGTATTGGATTTTGCCAAATGTTTTTCTGCATCTATTGAGATAATCATGTTTCCCCCCTTCATTCTATTAATATGGCATATTAAAAAAAATAATAATCTGGCATATTAAATGGATTGATTTTCATACATTGAATCAACCTTGCATTTCTGTGATAAACTCAACTTGGTCATGATGTGTTCTCCTTTTAATATGCTGCTGAATTCAGTGTGCTAGTATTTTGTTGAGAATTTTTGTATCTGTATTCCTAAGAGATGTAGGTCTGTAGTTTTTTGTTTTGTTTTTTCCTTATAATACCTTCATCTGGCTTTGGTATCAAGGTAATACTGGCCTAATAGAATGAGTTAGAAAGTGTTCCCTCTATTTCTATTCAATGCCATTGTTTTAAGTAACCAAGTGTGTGGTAATTTGTTACACAACAGTAGAAAACTAATACAACTGCTAAAAAAACACAAACAAAAATTATGTGCTTCTTGATGGAAGAACAGATCATCACCTGTGAAACAGTCTTGTTAAAAAAACAGAAATCTGAATCTGATCAAGCCTCTAGTTTAGATCCAACTACCAATTTATAGGAAATAAGTAATATGTTAAACAATGCCAATGGGATACAAACCAGCAAAATCCAGATATATCAAACATTCTAGGTAAAAAACATGAACCATACCCATAACTTGATGCAATTTTACAATATAATTTTATATAAGAAACTGGTTAAATAGGTGTTGATAACTGAAAAAGCAAAAGTGAGGTAACTTGGAGAAGTAACCACAGGAAGCAACTTCCACATCTAGGGCTTAGTGAACAAAGAGCTAAAACTGTAACACTTAGAAGGAAACAAAGGTGTGAATCTTCCTGACCTCATATTAGGCAATAGTTTCTTAATTATGACAACAAAAGCATCAAAAAAAAATAGATAAATTGGATTTCATCAAAATTAAAAACTTTTGGTGCATCAAAGAACACTATCAAGAAAATGAAAAGGCAACACATGGAATGGGAGAAAATATTTGTCAGTCATATACCTGGTAAGTGTCTAGTATCCAGAATAAATGAAGCTTTATTACAACTCAAAAAAAAAAAAAAAAAAAAAAAAAACTAACCTAACTAAAAAATGGCTAAAGGATTTGAATAGACATTTTTCCAAAGAAAATATACAAATAGCCAATAAGTACACGAGAAGATGCTCAACATCTATAGTCATTATGGAAATGCAAATCAAAACCACAATGAGATACCACTTCAAAGCCACTGGGATGTAATCAAAAATATAGATAACAAATGTTGGCAAAGATGTGGAGAAATTGGAACCTTTATATTTTGCAGGTAGAAATGTAAAATGGTATAGTCACGATAGAAAAAAGTTTGTCAGTTCCTCAAAAAGTTAAACATGAAGTTACCATATAACCCAGCAAATCCTCTCCTAGGAGTACACCCATGAGAACTGAAAACTTGTTTGCACAAAAACTTGCACAAAAACATTTATAGCAATATTATTCATAATAGACAAAAAAGTGGAAACAACCCAAATGTCCATCAGCTAGTGAATGGATAAACAAAATATCCATACAATAGAATATTATTCAGCCATAAAAAGGAATGAAATACTGATACTAGGGCTGGCCCGTGGCTCACTCGGGAGAGTGTGGTGCTGATAACACCAAGGCCATGGATTCGGATCCTATATAGGGATGGCCAGTTCGCTCACTGACTGAGCGTGGTGCTGACAACACCAAGCCAAGGGTTAAGATCCCCTTACCAGTCATCTTTATAAAACAAAAACAAAAACAAAACAAAAAAACCAAAAACTGATACTGCTGCAACATGGATGAAACTTGAAAATGTTATGCTAAGTGAAAGAAGCCAGACACAAAAAACCACATATTGTATAATTCCATTTATATGAATGTCTACAATAGGAAAATGTATAGAGACAGAAAATGTATTAGTGGTTGCTAGGCCACTGAGGATGAGGGGACATTGGGAGGTACAAGGTTTCTTTTTAAGGCAGTGGAAAACATTCTTGAATTAAAGTAGCGATGGTTGTATAACACTGCACTGAATGGTACACTCTAACATGGTTAAAATCGTGAATTTTACATTATGTGAATTTTATCTCAAATAAAAATAAAAATAAATATAAAAACAACCACTTATTATCTCTCAGTCTATCGTTCAGAAATCAGAAGTTGGGCTGAGTTCTCTGCTCAGGATATCAAGCCAAAATCAAGGTGAGTAGGTTGAGTTCCTGTCTGGAGGCTCTGGGGGGCAATCTGCTTCTAAGCTCATTGCTTGTGGCCAAATTCAGTTACTTGTGGTTGTAGACTAAGATCCTACTTTCCTTGCTGGCTGTCAGCTCTTAGCTCCAGGTAATCCCACTTGAGTAGATGGTACGTAAAGAACTGACAGTGAGATCTGGTCCACTTCTCAAGGTCATTTATTCAAATCTGATGGTTAAGATTTGACAAAG